TGTTAATACAAATGCTACACAGTAAAGGGAGGTAGGCACCAAAAACCAAAATAAATTGTATTTTTTTTAAAAAGCACTCATAGAATAAACGTCGACTATTAAATTTGGAGTCGACTACTTTGTTTAATTTTATTTTGTTGATGTCATCGTGAAGAATCGACTAATCGTGCCAGCAATAGGTGTGATCTAAATTGTGTGGGGCAAGGGCTTTCTTGTTTGCCAGCCACAGTTTTTGGATTGTACACATATGTGCAGCGGGCTTGACTGCTTGCTTCGTCTAAATCCATAATGAAGTTCTATTTCAACCATTTTGCTTTAGGTCAGTGATCCCTACTTATTTATAACTTTTTGCTTATGTGTGGCTGTTTTTCGATGCTCTGCTTCTTTTTGTGGAAATTTGGTTATTATGATGCTTTTTTTTGTTTGTTTGTTTGTTTTTACTCGCTGTCATGTTTTTTGTCGTCTACGTTTCTGGTGCTTTTTTGTCTTTCTGTGCAGCACTTTGGTAAGTTGTCATGCTGTTTTTTAAACTGATTTATTGTATGGAAGCTTAGTTAATAATGCTAAATCAAAAGTTCCTTTCTTACTTCAAAAGATCGCAGGTGCAAAAGAAAGCAATTTGATGTAAATAAAAATTAATAAAAATAATGCTGTCTAAATTATGTTAGACCTTTTCTATTGATATCAACCTTTTACTGGGAAATACCACTACACACGTTTTGTTTGAATGAGTACGTATCAAAAAATTGTGGATAGTGTGTCAAAGAGACGTTTTTTCTGTTGTCAGAATTTTAATTAATTTAATGACTTTTTCATTAACTTTAGGACACAGATGTCTCCACTGTGCAGAAGAGAGACGTAACTCTGAGATGCCTCATTGAGTACATGGGAGAGAGTGGACAGGCGCTCATCTCGGACTACTATGTAAGTAAATTGTTAGGGCCAAGACTGAATCGTTGTTTTAACAGACATCCACAAAGTATAAACTCCAGGATGATTGAGCACTGAAATTCAGCCGTTGCGCCTGAGCCTATGTAAGGGAAACACTGATGTGTGCAAATGCATCTGTGTGTCTGCTCTGTTTTCACAAATATCCAGTGAGTTATGGGGAGTCGCTGTTCACGTTAACAAGCTCACTTTAACGTTGACTGGTCAAATATACGAGCAAGTTAAGTTTACGTCTACAACAAAATAAACAAGTTTACAAATCGTTCGGTGAACTCTTTAGGCACAACAATGCCATGTTGTACTTGTAAACCTTTCCCTTCTCAGTCGTACATTTGCAGGATTTCCCCCAGCTCTATCCAAGCCAGGCTTTGCTTGGCCACCCGACACGAACGGCACAACGAAACTAGAGCCCTCCATCATCTTATCCTGGTGAGAAACAGCAGCGGAACGTGGGCAGGGAACTCCAGCAACAGAGGAAGAACTCAGCACATTACAGTCATAATAAATATACATATTAGAGAAACATTTAAACCAAAAAACTCATCTATGTTACTGACTGTTGATGTTGAATTACAGTTCAAATTCCATAGCCATCATCCCACACTGGTGAAATGTATCTCCGCATTTGACCCATCCCGATGAAGGGGAGTGGTGAGCTGCAGCAGTGGCTGCGCTCGGTAACTATTTGGTAGTTTAACTCCCCAATCCAACCCATTAAAGCTGAGTGTCAAGCAGGGAGGCATTGGGTACCATTTTTAAAGTCTTTGGTATGACCTGACCAGGAATCAAACCTCTATCTCCAAGTTCCAGGGCAGACACTCTACCACTAGGCCAGGGGTCGGCAACTCGCGGCTCTGGAGCCGCATGCGTCTCTTTCATCCATCTGATGCGGCTCTGCTTGTAAAATAATTAATGAATATTTAAATTCAGTGTATTTTATTTTACTGCATTCATTTTTTATCTGTAGCCAATTCTAAATGTAAAGATTGTCTATGTAAACCTGAACAGGTCACCTGCTTGTGCGTAATCAAACGTCTCTAGGCGCTTTCTGAGCTGAAGAGGATGTGAGGTTCTGGACTGTTCCTCAGACAGGCTCATGGATGCGTCGTAGAGGATGTGAGGTTCTGGACTGTTCCTCAGACAGGCTCATGGATGCGTCGTAGAGGATGTGAGGTTCTGGACTGTTCCTCAGACAGGCTCATGGATGCGTCGTAGAGGATGTGAGGTTCTGGACTGTTCCTCAGACAGGCTCATGGATGCGTCGTAGAGGATGTGAGGTTCTGGACTGTTCCTCAGACAGGCTCATGGATGCGTCGTAGAGGATGTGAGGTTCTGGACTGTTCCTCAGACAGGCTCATGGATGCGTCGTAGAGGATGTGAGGTTCTGGACTGTTCCTCAGACAGGCTCATGGATGCGTCGTAGAGGATGTGAGGTTCTGGACTGTTCCTCAGACAGGCTCATGGATGCGTCGTAGAGGATGTGAGGTTCTGGACTGTTCCTCAGACAGGCTCATGGATGCGTCGTAGAGGATGTGAGGTTCTGGACTGTTCCTCAGACAGGCTCATGGATGCGTCGTAGAGGATGAGAGGTTCTGGACTGTTCCTCAGACAGGCTCATGGATGCGTCGTAGAGGATGAGAGGTTCTGGACTGTTCCTCAGACAGGCTCATGGATGCATCGCAGTGTTGGAGACAGGAACAAGCGCTATTCAGCCAAAGATTCATAATCAGGGAACATTTTCTAAGTGACGAGTCTCTGAGAGACCGGGTTTAGAAAACACAGAATCTTCCTGCATGGTTCTGGTTCTGCTCCAAGCCCCCGATCTACACATCTTCAGCTCGCTGTCCACGTTACGCATGCGCTGACAGCGAGCTGCGCTGAGCTCAGTGTCCATCTCAGATGTTCTGATGGTGATCTTTTCCTGATTGATGGAGCTACCTCCACGATGTGCGTAACGATAAAAATGTCAGCGCATCTGTAGGCTTGAGATTTCTCCGTCAAAATAAACAATCAAATACGGGAAATATCCGGCCCGTGCGAACCCCGTCATTTAACTGTTTTGCCTTCTTGTGGAGATAGTTGCAAACAGAAACATTGAACCTGATTACCACCAGAAACACGCACACTGCGCCGTTATCTCAGTCAGTGCAAATGAGGAGAATAACAGAACTGATTGGATCCTTGGGTGTGAAAGGTTCAGGGGCCACATCTGGCCCGCGGGCCGCCCATTGAGTACCGCTGATGTAGATGAACACATACAATTTAAAGCTTTTTTTATTTATTTAATGTTAGCTCTTCAAGTCATGCAGCATTTGCATTAAAAATGCCATAGAAATTAATGTTACTGAGACACAAATAATTCTGGCTAAAAAGTCAGGAACTGACGATTTTGGTATTTGTGTTAATTCTTTTAATTGATGTTTTGCCATTGTCCTTGTTTGTCATTAAGGGAAGCCCAGAGACCCGTGTGCATGAGGACCTAAAACTGCGCAGCATGATGATCTACATTTGCCATGATCCAGATGCTGTAGGAATAATCATCGAGGGAGTGCCGGTGCTCACTAATCTTGGCAGTCTAGCCAAAGCATGCAGCATGCTTCTTGGTCTGACATACGCCCTGAACCTCCAATATCCTACCAAACTTGTCAAAACGTTTGAAGTTTTTCAGAGACTTCTTGTGGGTCTTGATACACTCCGCCCAAAACCAAGCTCCAGGTACATGACTCTGAAAAACAAACTTCTTACCTAGGCAGCCAACGTGAGTGTGGCCCCTACACTTCTGAACAGCAGGTCTGTTGTGTTCGTTCAATATTAAAATGTGTTTTTCAATGACAAAAGGCAATTGTTCCAGATGTTGCTCTGGGTTGTCATGTGACAGTTTTTTTAAGCTGAGACGGGTTCTGTTTAAAAGTAGTTTGGATAACACTTAGAAAATGACTCGTTAAATGACTTGTTCTTTAAAGTGAAATGTCAAGTATATTAACAACAAAACACTATAAGTTTTGAGAGGTTCATCTATACTTTATACAAATATGTTCATGTATTTTTCGATTGAAATGCTTCCAGATTTTCAGGTGGAAAATGCTTCATGTTGTCATTGACAGAATGAGTTTTGTGAGCATAGGTCTCACACCGTTCCTGTGTTTACTGTGATGTCAATGTTTTACAGTAATATGTGTATGGCTTGTAAAAATCTTTACAAAAGTTGTAAGACGTAAAATTTACAAATACTTGTTAGTATTTACATCAATGCCACTGTTTCAATGATTTAGGAAAAATAAATCTTGAAAGCGGACTATTTACAGCTTCACAGTATTTATCATTATCTACTCTTTACATTTTAAAAACTGTTTCAGTATTGAAACGTTGAATTAAATCTAAATAATTTCAATTTTTGGTTTATTTTTTAGAATAACATCAAAGAAAGGTTTCAGTTCATATAAAATAATGAAATTATAAATTTTTCCTCAGTCCAAATAGTAAGTTTAACAAACTTTAAAAATTTGTTTGGGAAATGCTGCCTTAATTATTTTTGAATAATTTAAAACTCACAGGTTTTAGTGTAGAAAAAAGGTGAAATTATTAAGTTGTACCTACTCATATTTCTGGTTAGTTGACCAAACTTACAAAATTTGTTTGGAAAATGTTGCCTTATTTTTTTGAGTAATTTGAAAGAAACAGTATTAACAGTGCAGGGTGTGAATGGATGAATGACTGATTGTGTTGTAAAGCGCCTTGGGGGGTTCCAGGACTCTAGAAGGTCCTATATCAACTACAGGCCATTTACCATTCGTAGATTTTAGCAAAAGTCTGCAACGTAACAGAGTGAAAAGTTTATGTCTGAATACTTCCCGTACCCACAGTACTTCTTTGTAGTAGGAATGTTTTGAGATATCCCTAAAAACCATTTATACTAGTATCAAAACTGCTGCTCTTGTACTAAAAACTACTTTGATTAGGGCGAACTACAAAATTGTGAAATCGGAATTACAAAGAGGTGTAGTTATTGTATACTTGTTTAAATGGCTTGCCATACTAGTTCTGATACTGACCTGCACCTGAACGGATCCTCCGGGCTGTGGTTGAAATGGTTCAGGGTCTCCTCAGAAACCTCCTCTACCCCCTCATGCAGGTCCTCGTTGAAACTGCGTCTGCGGTTTTCCAACTCGATCCTCTCCGGAGTTATCACAGACACAGCTGCAGACACACCAACACACACACACACAGACACACACACACACAGAAACACACACACACTAAAGCCCAGATTGATTCGGGTTTAAGGAGAACCATCAGCAGAACATGGCTGTAGACAAACACACAGTTGAGCTCACCTGAGGAGCGACGATGCTCACTAGTTGTCTGACAGTCAGAGAGAGGCGGAAGTGATGTCAGCGACGCCTGAAAGAGCAGAGAGGCTGAGTGAGCCGACTTCAGCACGTATGATAACGCTCCGACTGTTCTGAGTCCAGTTCACACCCGAGAGGTTATTATGGGTCAAGCTGTGGTTAAAGTTTTCTGTTGGTTTTTTGTGTGAATGCGGTCAGTAACGGCATAGAGGGTTTGGTGTGAAATAAGGCCGGCGAAGGTTCTCAGTCATCCAGGTCATGGTAGTCCAAAGGGTTCAGATGAAGGCAACTGGACTTCCTTGGTTTCTTGAAGACGTTTCGCTTCTCGTCTGAGTAGCTTTGTCCGATCTAACTGGAACACGGGAGAGTCAAGCTTATAAGCTGTAGCTGTCTGTTGTTGTTGTTTAATGAGCAGAAACTACTCTGAGTACCCCTCCTCTCCATCCCTGATGAGCCTTTGTGTTGATTAGATGCAGTAAGGTGTGACCTGGACTGCTTAGGAATGACAATCAAAGCTGCATTACAGGTTCTGGCAAGGTGAAACCTAAGCCCCCCTAAACCATAAATGTCTAATACCACTAAAATGGAATTAAATAAATAAATAAGTACATTAATAAACAGGAAATGCAACAAAAACAGAGATCAGGTAAAAGCTAAGCTAAAAAGGTGAGTGTTGAGCCTGCTCTTAAAACCTGAACATCCTCTACGACCCTGAGGTCCTCTGGCAGCCTGTTCCAGAGGCGAGGGCCATGATACTGGAAGGACGCCACGCCGTGGGTGGGATCTGACTTTTGGAATCACAAGGAGACGGCTGCCAGAGGAGCGCAGAGGCAGCGAGGGCTTGTAAGGTAAAAGCAGTTCTGAAAGATGAGGCCCAAGACCATTAAGACACTTTAAAACCATTAAAAGAACCTTAAAATGGATCCTGAAACACATTTGGAGCCAATGCGGCGATTCTAAACTGGTGTAATGTGCTCCCGCCTCCTGGTCTTCATCAGGACACGTGCTGCAGAGCTTTGTAAAAGTTGTAGCCTGAGATGCTCTTTTTGTGAAGACCAGGAAGCAGGGCACTACAGTACTCTACTCTACTGGTGATAGAAGCATGCATCAGCAGGATTTTGCGCTATATAAATAAACTTGAATTAAATTGAATTTAAATCAGCAACAAATGAATGTTTATCACATTTACACGTCTCTCGTCGTCTTCCTCCGCTTATCCGGGTCCGGGTCGCGGGGGCAGCATCCCAACTAGGGAGCTCCAGGCCGTCCTCTCCCCGGCCTTGTCCACCAGCTCCTCCGGCAGGACCCCAAGGCGTTCCCGGACCAGATCGGAGATGTACTTTCTCCAACGTGTCCTGGGTCGACCCGGGGGCCTCCTGCCGGCAGGACATGCCTGAAACACCTCCCTGAGGAGGCATCCAGGAGGCATCCTGACCAGATGTCCAAACCACCTCAACTGACTCCTCTCGATATGGAGGAGCAGCGGCTCTACTGCAAGCCTCTCCCGAATGTCCGAGTTCCTCACCCTATCCCAAAGGCTGACTCATCAGATGTGAAACTGTCAGGTGGCCAGAAGGCAAGGCAGCTTTATTTCTGGAGCACATTTCAAACAAAGAGGCACTTCAATGTGCTCTACAATCATCAGGACATGACATGACAACACATAAGAACACGAATGAAAATCCACAGACAGAATTACAGTTTAGGGCTAAAGGAGAAGACAAAGTTGCATCAGATTACAGATTACAGATTACAGATTACAGAGGAGATGATGCAGCATTAAACAGTTCATGTGAAGGCTGATGAGTACATGAGGGTTTTAGGGTTGGGGCAGGTCTGAGGTCAAGGGGAAGCTGATTCCGTATGTGAGCAGCATAGTAGCTAAATGCATCTCCACCATGTTTGGTTCTGACCCGAGGTTCTACCAGCTGATTGGTTCCCAGGGACCTCAGAGCCCTGTGGGGTGTAGATACCAGTATTTTGGCTCCATGCCACTGAGTGGTTTATAAACCAGTAGGAGCACTTTGAGTCTATGCTGTGGTTTACTGGTAACCAGTGAAGGGATCTAAGAACAGGAGTGATGTGCTCCATTCTCCTGGTTCTTGTTAAGACTCCAGCAGCAGCGTTCTGAACACGCTGCTGTTGCATCACAGCTTTTTGGGAAGACCAGTTAGGAGACCATTGCAGTAGTCCAGCCTGCTGGAGATGAACACATGAATGAGTTTCTCTAAGTCTGGTCTGGACATGAGACCTCTGACTCTTGATGGTTGATGAAGGTGATAAAACGCTGATGTAGTTAAAGCCTTAATGTGTCCAGAGAAGCTCAGGTCTGAGTCAATGATAACACCAAGATTTCTACCCTGGTCTCTGTCTTCATTCCCCTGGAGTCCAGCTGACCAATAACATCCATCCTAACCTTCTTGTTGCCAGAGACAATAACTTCAGTCTTGTCTTTGTTTAGCTGAAGGAAGTTTGACTGCATCCACTCGTTTACGTGTTCTAGGCACTGACAGAGTGAGTCCTGTGGACGACAGTCACTAGGTGATAGGGCTAGGTAGATCTGGCCCCAGAAGCCACCTGGAAGTATCTTTTGACCAGTTATGCGTACGCTGAGGGTGCCTACAATCTTCAGATACATCAGAAGCCCACTCACTCACTCTGCGACACGGCTTCGCCTGCAGACCGGATCTCCAAGAGCTTTCACAATCCAGGGTGCGTAGAATAATCAATGGATTAGGAGTGGATGATACTAATCCAAATCAATTCAAATCAATTGAATTCAGTTCAATTCAATTCAAGTTTATTTATAAAGCGCCAAATCACGACCAGAGTCGTCTCAAGGACCTGCACACAGTAAACATTCCAATGCAGGTCAGTTCATTAAGCCAATCAGTAACAAGGTTCCTATATAAGGAACCCAGCAGGTCGCATCGAGTCACTGACTAGAGTCAGAGTCTTTACAGCAATCCTCATACTAAGCAAGCATGTAGCGACAGTGGAGAGGAAAACTCCCTTTTAACAGGAAGAAACCTCCAGAGAATCCTGACTCAGTATAAGCAGCCATCCTCCACGACTCACTGGGGATGGAGAAGACAGAGCAGACACACACACACACACACACACACACACACACACACACACACACACACACACACACACACACACACACACACGTAGAACAAAACACAAACATTCCCTCTCCTGATAATAACTTTTTACTCTCTTTGACGTTGGATGTGCTACTACTAGTTTACCCGTTTAATTATAGATCCACTAGGATAAATACAATAAAGTTTATCTCACCAAATAGAATATTTACTAAGACATCACAATGTAACCATAGACACACTAGTTGGTGTGTGTGTCGAGTGCGCGCGCGTGTGTGTGTGTGTGTGTGTGTGTGTGTGTGTGTGTGTGTGTGTGTGCACACCCAAAAGACAAGACACCAGCTGGACTTAAATGTGGAGTCGTTTACGAAATCCCATACAAACTCTGCAATAAAACATACATAGGAGAACCCGGACGTCAACTCAACACACGAACAATAGAACATAGAAAGGATGCATCAAATTCAAATTGCTAACACTAGCATATAAAGTCCGAGATGGTACATCTCCCATCTACCTGAATCCTCTTGCAAAGGCTTACGTCTCGGCCCGGCCGCTCCGGTCATCACAGGATCGTCGGCTAGCAGTGCCTACACCACGCTCAGGACAATCCAGACTCGTCTCATGCATCGTTCCACAAATGTGGAATGACCTTCCTAACACTACCAGAACAGGAGCTTCCTTTTCAATTTTCAAGAAACTCCTGAAGACCCTGCTCTTCAGAGAGCATCTTCTAAACTAGCACCCTCCCTGCACCCGCCCCCCCTCTCTACTGTCCACTCCTTGTTCCCTCCTCTCCATGACTGATGTCAATTTGTTGTTGTTACTATTGCTGTTAGCCTCAAGGGCAACATGCCGATTATCACTTGTAAGCTGCTTTGGACAAAAGCGTCTGCTAAATACATAAATATAAATATAGAAAGGAGTGTGAGAAAGAAACAAGTCGAAGACACACAAGAGCAGCAAAACAAGAAGCAGAAAGTACAATAAAGAAGTCAGCCGTAACAGATCACTGCACAAGAGAAAACCATGTAATGGACTGGGACAACACAAGGATCATAACCACCGAACAACAGAAACACAAAAGATGGATAAAAGAAGCTATCGAGATAAGGAGACGTGGATGTGGGACCATGAACAGAGACGATGAAGTTTACTCGTTGGACCGCTCATGGGACTGCATCATCAGAGAGGGGAGAGCGGGCAGTAGAGGGCGACAACGTCCTCTGCTGCCCGTGGATAAACGGAGAAGGAAGTGACGCCACCATCAGCGTCAGCCTGAGGAAGTCTGCAGCCGCAGACGAAACGTAGCGGGAAAACAGGTAACGAAACCGTTTCTGTGTTTTAAAAAGAACTACAGCATGGAATTAGAAATACGACACAGCAAGAACACACCTAAGATGTGTCAAATGCTGATTGGCCAAACTCGACCAGAAACCATAACAAAGTAGTTTAATAAAACAGGAATCACTTCCCGACTAATTCAGTTTCTAGCTGAAATCCGAACCGGCTAACTCGCAACAAGCATCCTTGAGACATCTCTTTTACAGTCAAACCCTGTCTGCACGCTGCTAGCTGACACAGCCAGACCGCTCCCTAAGAGCCACACCCACTTTGGACGCAGACAAGCGTTCCAGCTACCGTTGTGACCTGGAGACATCTCAAGACCGGACGGGTCGTATCGGAGTTAATCTACGAAATCCCGGTGCCGTGAGGTCCACCCGACTTCTGACAGTCCGGATCTGCTGGGGGTCTCCGCCAGGGTTTGTAGACACAGCAGATCGCGTCTGATGCTGTTTTATTAATAATCAACTCTATTCTTTTACACCCAGATTTCACTATTTGTTTCAGATAGAAAGGTTCTGATAAACATCTGGCTTACATCACACCACCTACACATCACACTCCATCACCGCATATCCGCTCCATCACATCTCATTACTCAGATCTAGTCATGTATAATCATTAGTTTAGAAAAGAATAAAAGTCCTTTTTAACTAAATACTGACTCTGTCTGAATGAATACGAAGTGTGTTTATGGTCCCTGAACAAGTAAAAGTAACTAGAATACTCTGATTAAATGTTCAAACATCAATCAGGTTAATGTTTCATATAAATATGGAATCATCACATCTTATTGGTCATAATTCATTTGCAGTCGTCGCGCTATAAAGTGTGACCGCTACACAGTAAATCATCAAGTAGACTCATTTAGTGTATTTAAGATCTGAAATAAGTCATAAAATAATAAACATTTATGTTTATTAATTAATTATTAAATCACTTTAGATTGTAGATAACACAGAATACGATTGTAAACCTGCAGAACGAAAGAAATCGTGTTATGAGACCAAACTAAGAATCCTTTTATTAAACAGAGTAAGAGTCTCGTCTTCTGCATGGACCCTGGAGTTGCAGCTTCTAGTGAACGTGGGCGGAAAAGAAGTCAGGCGGGGGAATCGTTTTGACTAACTTCCGAGACGCCGAGGTCAGAAGCAGTGTGTCTGCAGACAGTTAAGATGTGGCACAAATAACCTTGTTAGACATTTCCAACGCTCAATCCAAAAATCTGTGTGTGTGTGTGTGTGTGTGTGTGTGTGTGCGTGTGCGTGTGCGTGTGTGTGTGTGTGAGTCGGGGAGAGGTGGGAAATTGACTGTTGCGTGGGCATTTTTTTGTCTTATATAACATTTGCTGTATGAAAAACGCTTCATGGTTAAAGTTTGATTGATTGATTGATTGATTGATTGATTGACTGATTGATTGATTGATGGACTGATGATGGGTAAAACACTGGCTCCACGCAGACTGAAAGCTTTACTCACTGATGAAGATCGGTGTGACGCAGGCCTCTTCCTCGCAGAACCCCGCTGACACTCAGGATGCTGAAGACAGTAAAACCTCCCTGAGACACAGAAGACAAAGTGAGGTAATGGATACAGGTTTCGGATTGGGCCAGGGTTCCTCTCCGGGTCCTGGTTTGGTGCTTTATAAATAAACTTGAATTGAACTGAATTCAACATAGTTTTATTTGAATCTCACAAGGATTTTCTACAGCTGTCGGTTCCTCCTTCGACCATGTCTCTGAGCAGATAGCTGGTCCAGTAAAATAAAACACATTTGTCCTGTGGTTGCACATCAATCTTCTAGATGATGGGTTGACTTAACCCATTTCTGAAATCTGAGCATCTGGCTCGATTCTCACTCAGAGGAAGTTCTGGTGAAAGACTCACTGGTGCCTGGGTGGAAGTTGTATGAAAGTAGCCTGAGGGGGGCGCTGCAGTCATCACAATGGAAACAGCTGCGATGGAAGAACAGGCCTTCAGCACTCAGGCGCTCCATCACGTAGACCTTCTGCTCACAGATGAAACAAACGTCACTGCCAACAGCAACCTGGTGACAGGTGGGGCCAAACAACGAGATGAATGAAAGTGAAGGAGGAAGACAGGTCAAAGAAAAGCTGGAGATGAAGAAGTGAGATGAAACAAGTGGGAACATCTAGCTTCTTCTCAAATGTCACTGCAGACGTTTGAGCTGTGATAACGTTCTAAACAGCTGGCCCTCATTCCTCCACCGTTGTAGAAATAATCCTAAATTCATTCTTATGAACAAAAGCTCATTCAGACCAGCTCATTCTCACTCAGCTTCGACAACACCACACTTCTCCCCACCGCCAAAGCTAAGAGCTTGGGTGTCATCCTAGACAACACCTTATCTTTCATTCCTCATATTAACAACACAATAAAAACTGCTTATTTTCATCTTCGCAATATCAATCGGCTCCGCCCCTCCCTCAGTCAGCACTCCGCTGCTATTTTGGTCCACAGCCTGGTCACCAGTCGCATCGATTACTGTAATGCCCTCCTCTCCGGTTTCCCTCTAAAATCACTCAACAAGTTACAGTTAGTCCAAAATTCAGCTGCCCGGATAATCACTAAGACCTCCACTTTTGATCACATCACCCCTGTCCTGCAGCAACTTCACTGGCTCCCTGTCAAATACAGAATTGACTACAAGATACTTCTTCATGCCTTTAAAGCCATCCATAATCTCGCTCCCCCATATCTTTATGATCTCCTCCACATCGTCACTCCCACT